AAAAACAAAACAAAACAAAACAAATAACAAAAACAAAAGCAAAAAAGAAAAACCAAAAACCAAAAAATTATGGATTTTGATTTTCCTGATTTTTCACTTCAGAGTGTTTTCTCGATAAGAAGCCACTAATCAAACCTGTATTGCGAATACAGTGCGCTGCAAAGTTGAAGAAAAATGGAAAGGTACATGCATGTAATAGAAACAAAAGAAAAATTGGGCCAAAGTTTAATCCCTTTGCAAATTGCATGCCATATTTTAAGCAACTAAAAACAGCTCTTGAAGCTTATAGAAAGGGGGGGAAAAGGGCTTAATGATTGTATCTATTAAAGCTTATTATTGCCTAGTCATTAATCTACTCATCCTAATTAAGAAGACAGCTAATTAATGCAAGAAAACTTTGTTGTTTGGCATGAAAAAGAAAAATTCTACGGTAGAATACAGTTTTTATGCGTTAGATCATCACAAAATCACTTTAACTTAAAAAATTACGACAGTTTGACGGTACTTAATGAAGCTCTAATTTAGTATGCAAACTAACTATACTTCAATACCATAGAGACATAGACTTTATCTTCTTATTCAAATAAAAATAAATAAAAAAAGAAGGAAATTAAAGGAAAATAAAAAAAAAATTTGACAAACACAGAGAAGAGAAGAAGAGAAACTTACGCGTCCATATCGACCCGATGGATCGGTTTCGACGTATCCATTGAGCTCTGGTTTGGCTCCATTGACGCACCTTCCCAATCGCTTGTTGTTCATAATTGAGAAATTGATGATCACGCCAAACCCCCCAGAGAAATGCTCTTAAAAATATTTTGCTCACTAATCGACGTTCGATACTTTATTATAGCTTATTATATACCTTAAAAATTAAAATACATAAAAAGAAGAAGCTGAACTTTAGTACTAAGAGATCCGAGGCTTTCCTTCGTGATTTTCGTAGGAGAAGACACCAAACAACAACCAGAAAAGTCTCGAGTAATCAACGCTTAACATAATCCAAGCCATTTCCACTACTCCACGTGACGACTCGTAATACTTCGCAACCATATTTTTTTGTCCCAATTAAACAAAAATACAAGACGCAAGAAAAAGAGAGATTTTTTTTTTTTTTTTTGGGTAAACGATATTGTAATACTAGTAGATTTTTTGGGACAATATTTGAGGGGAAAAATTAAGGGGAGAATAATATCTGTTTTAGTGGGCGACTGTGTGGTGGAGGGATTAATTATTTTTTGTGAAAAGTGACTGATTTTGGGATGAAACTGGGCTTAATCTAAATTTGAAGAATCTGTGGCCACGCTTTGGAAGAACCATTTGTGGATGTTAAAGCAACCAAAAAGAAAGAGAGAGAGAGAACTTTTGTTTGCTTGTTTGTTTGGTAAGAAAGAATCTGAGGGAAAATATGAAAGAGACAGAGAAGTTTTGTTGGAAAGATATAGCTCAGATGGGTTTCAAAATGCAAATAGCTTGATGGGTATAAGGAAAAGAAGGAGATGGTGGGTGATGATATATTATAAAGAAACGGGCTAGAGAAGCAGATTTTTTATTTTATTTTTTAATTTTTAATTTTTAATTTTTTTTGGTTTTTGGGTATTTTAAAGGGCCGTATTAATTCCAATATTAAGGCCATAAAAGAACATATCTGAGGTGTTGACAGGGTCCAAAGTCCAAACTGAAACTTATGAAACTGCCGATGTTGATAAAGAGATAATTACTGTGATGGAGGGAAGTGGCTCGCTTGTATTGGGATTTGGGAAAAGTCAGAATATAAATCATCTCATCCGTCTCTCGTGCGCTGTTTATTGATCCAGCGATACTATCTAGCCATTCATTAATAATTAAAAAAAAAAAAGCAAATTTGTCAATTTTTCTTAGATACCCGTGCTGAAACTTTAGACGGATCACTTGTGATTATCGAAAATTTTAAATTTTTATCTGATGACCGAGCCCGTCTTGTCTGAATTTTTGGGCTGCCCGACCCGACCCGAATAACTACTTGGACAGGTTTCGGGCAGCCAAAGGCTGCCGTGCTCAATCGGGCTGCCCGAGCTCGATCGAGTTGCTTGAATTTTTAAATATTTTTATATTATTTATTTATATATTATTATATATATTACAATTTGAAATTTAAAATGAACACACGAACTATATAAAAAAATTATTTATTTATTACTTTTTAAATTTATAATTCATGATTGTCTCGTTAAAAATCTTACTAAGAAAAACTCAATCAGGATAAAAACTTGGTAAGAAAAAAATATTGTAATCATTGTGGGACGAATTACAAATTTGATAAACTTACAAAGTCTATACAAGATTACAATAACAATGTACAAAATAAACAAATATTTACAAATTACAATAATAGAATTTAATTTGAAGCAGAAGGATCGTCTTGAAAATTAAAAGTTAATCTATTAAATTCATCGATCCATTCTTGACTTGCTGGTGAAATTGTATCGTGTAAGCGTTGGTCGGAACGATCCCAATCCTTGATGCACACTAAAACTTCAACAATATCCTGTTGCAATGCGTTTCTCCGTTCTTCAAGTATTCGGCCGGTTGTACTGAATGCTTATTCGGCTGCAACAGTAGAGACTGAGATCGAAAAAATATCCATTACCAGTCGAGTTAGGATTAGCCAAGTTAATGCTCGTGCCCTCTACCATTGAACCAAATCAAACATTTCACTATTGTCTACAACTAAGCCCTCACTCAGGTACGCCATTAACTCATTGAAGCTGCCGTTGTTGCCGCTACCTCTTGATGAAGATCTACTCCCAGATTCTTCTTGACCTTGAGTCGTCGTCGTCGTCTTCTTCTTCTTCTTAGACAACCCGAAAACATTCAAGAATGAATGCGGATTGTCATCTCGTTGTTGCGATTGTTCTACACGTCGTGTGTTTCTAAACCTACTTTCATAAGAGCTATAGAGAGATAATATTTTTTTCCTTTATAATAGGAAATTGGTCAGTAGTATCGATATCTAAAAAGTCACCTAAGTTATCTAATCCACTTTCTAAACCATCTAATTTTAATCTAGGATCAAAAATAACACCGAACTCATACAACATTGGTAATTTAGACCGATATTTTTTAACTTGTTTTTCATAGAAGCGATAGGAACTCCTAAAACCTCATGTGTCCTAAATTCACTAAATAAAATAGACATTTTTAAAAGTTCTCCTAACGTTAATGGTGACGTTGGGTAATAAGTTCCACTAAGCTTCAAAGTAACTTCGTGAAATCTACCTAAAAAGTTAAACAAGAGTTCGGCAATTTGCCAATCACTTTCATCTATAAATCATGGTCCTAATTTTGCACTAATATAGTTTGTTATAGCATCTTTATAGGGGATGCATTGTTCAAGCATTATATAAGTGGAGTTCCATCTTACGGGCATATCTAAGGCTAATGCTCTAGGATTTTGATTACATGCTTGTAGAAACCTAAACCAATCTTGTATTCTTGATTACTACCTTGAATCCAAGCAATGTTATCTCTAATTCTTTTAATATGACCTGACATTATTTTAAACCTGATTTCACTATTAAATTGATTATATGACATGCACAACGTTGGTGAAATATATCATTATTATCGAATAAACTTAAATCATTTTCAAAAAGTTCTATTGTTTTAGTATTTGCAGTAGCATTATCTAATGTTATGGCCATTACTCTATCCCTTAAATTATATTCATCACTGACCGATAAAATTGTATTATATATTAAATTGGCGGTATGTGATCCTATAACACATTTAAAACCTAATATTTTATTATCTAAATCAAAATCTTTATAATAATGTCCAGTTACAGTTAAATAATCTTTGTTGGCAACGGCAGACCAAATATCCGCCATTAACACAATGCAACCACTAGTAGAGTGTAAAAGGTTGATTAATTCTTCCTTTTTTTGTTTATATAATTTTAATGCATCTTTCCTAAGAGTAGTTCTAGAAAAAAATTGTGCATTAGGATTATGTACAATTTTAATATAACGCTGTCAATTCCTTTGTTCAGTAAAACTAAATGGTTGATCTAATGTGCCTACTAATCGTGCCATTTCCATACGATCAACTTGCGGATCGTATTTCCACGTGCTTAGACCGCCGGTTTGGCAGTCAAACGATAATTGTGTTTGGCGGAGATCGGGTTCGCCTCCTTGCTTTTGAAGACACTTTTCAGAGTGTCTTCTCAAGTGTGTAGTGCCGTGAATAGTGTTACCTTGTAATTTATCACCACAATATTTGCATTGAGCTATGTATTTAATGTTACCGTCATTGTCGACCTCCTCGAATGTGTTGAAGTGCTCCCAAACTATTGAGGTGCGCTTGCATTTCTTCTTAGAACTTGCAACACTTGCACTAGCACTTCCGCTTACCTCTCCTCCACGCCCACCACCATTACGTCCACGACCTTTAGTACATCCACCAGGGCTCGGATTTGCAGTTTCCTCAGCAACTCTTTTTGTAGTTTGCGATTCTTGCGTTTGAAAAATATTAGGAAATTGTCCATCTTTGATGTTGAATTGGGCATCAATGAGAATACCGCCACCATAACCAAACGAAGCCATTATGAAAAATAAGAGAGATTGAGAGCGCTTTGAGAGAGATTAAGAGAGATCGAGAGAGATTTAAGCGAGATTAAAAGAGATTTGAGAGAGATTAAGAGAGATTTGAGAGAGATTGAGAGAAATTAAGAGAGGATGAGGTTTTTGGGTGAGGAAAATGGTTGGGGGAGGAGGGGTATTTATAGGAAATTTTTTGGCTTGAAAAAAAATTTTCCAACAAAATTCCGGTTCCAACGATAACACACACTCGGGCGGGCAGGTTAGGCAGCGGTAAGAAAAATAACCGTTGGGGTCAGGCAGGTCGGGCGGCGGTCGGGTCGGGCAAAAAAGAGCCGTTCTGTTTAAAATTCGGGCAAAATCAGGCTAACGGTAAAAAAAAAAAAAATCGGCCAAAATCGAGTTACGCGGAAAAATTAAAAAAAAAACCGGCAGATGGCGGCCCG